AATGACACTGGCAGTAACCGCCTTGGGGCGGGCGGTTACTGCCAGTGTCATTATGGAAGAGTTGCGAGAGAGCGACTGGCCGTACCCCCATCAGCCCTTCCGTTGGCAGTAACCGCTCGATCCCAGTTAACACCTACTGCCTCACGCACGGCTTTTCACCCATAGATTCCCTTGTGCGACGTCTTGTAGAGAGAAAGGTTAGGGGCGTATTCCACACTGGTCCTGTGAATGGAGCTAAGGCTACCGCTATGGCTTCTTCAGTGCAACTCTCTTTCTTAGTAAGATGGTGTAGCGGAGGGAGCTCCATTCAGAAGACTGGTCGTCAGTCTGATTCCACCCATACGATCTGAGCGGAAATCGCTTCAAATAGCTCAAATCACAACTTGCTTCACAGACTGTGTGTGATCTCAAACATCAATTAAGAGCTCACTTGGTTTGGAGGCAAAAGACAGCTTAGCGCTGAGGTTGCTAGAAGTAGGATATGTTGGGGTCTTGTAGCGGGCCGTTTTTCAAGCTTCCTTCTCCTTTAGTAAGTCAACAAGCACACGGAAATTCTATTTCTGAACTGTATTACTTATGGAGTGCGGAATTGCCTTCAAGGAGCCCATAGGGTGAAGATCCGTTATCAAAGGCGCACTCCGCGGTCATCAGATAGGCGGGGACTCACAACCTTTCGTCATTGCGCGATCCTCGTCTATACCATCTCGTAAGTGAGAGCCATGCACAGAAGAAGCCACAGTTTTGATTCATAGTAGTTTGATGGTTCACACTGCTGCGCCACTTTGTACATCATGGAATGCGTCTTCGCAGGCAGTGGGTGCGATCGCTGGGGGCGGACGGTTGCTGCCAGCGTTATTGGTGGAAGAGCTACGAGAGGGCGTCTGGCAATACCCTACTCGGCTCTTCCTTCCGTGGTACTGGCAAGAACAACCTACTCCCAGCGATGGTGCCCACTACCTTTGGGAGCGATTGCTCACAATTCCGTAAAACTAATTTTCTAAATTTTAGACTGTACTTGGCGTACTCGATCTCGTGCAGTGGCTCTTTGATTGGCCCAGATTGTGATTTAACCTGCAACCAGTCGTCGATCAACTCCAATGTTGCTGCATGCCGTTCGAACGCCACAGGGTTCTTCTTCGTTTGTAATTATCAGTCGGGAGGACAGGTCAGTACTGAAACACTTCTACTGCCTATGTAGTTACGAAAGTGTGAAGTAATTCTTTCCATTTAAGGTGGATAATTGCAATAGTTGCCCATGGGGAATCAAGGAGAGCACCTACTGCCAAGATGAAGGAGGTGGTGTGCTTGACCCTTATCATTCTGTGAGTTCTTCACATTTTTAAATGCATCAAAATGTCATTTCCTGGGTGGAAGACGCTTCGAATTTTTGGCGAAAAGCCAGAGATGGCACAGGCTGCTCCATCTTCAATTTCGCTTGAAGTTACTTATGCTTTGTGTATTCTAGGGCGTTGGTTGCATGTGCTGGATTCCGTACGCGACATATGCCTTTCCGTCGTTTCGTATCTAACTATTCTGTCTGTTTGATCTTCCTTCTGTTTGCCTTGTGCATATTAATGTAAGCTATTTTTATATCTGGAGATTTAACAAGATCTCTATTGTGTTTGCTTTTCAGGCGTCGCCGTAGACAACCCGTCGAGAAGGAGATGACCACATATGGGCAAAACGGCTTCACCGCCTCTACTCCAGCATCGCGTCCACTACTGACAGCTGCTTACCGTGCCGAACAACCGACACCACAGCCACGCTCTCAACCACCCAGTCTCGATGCCCGACCAATGAGTGAGTCCGTTGTAACTGACGCTATAATAAAACATTATCAGATATAATTGAAAAGGAGGGTTTTTGGCTGTTTGCTCGGGTTTGACTTTGGGTACATCAAATCTTCGCAAAGTTTTTGCTTACTAAATACCATTAGAAGCAGAAGAGCGAGTTTTCTGACTTCCCTCGTCGCATGATTCTGCGCAGTCCACATCTGAGGCCAGAGCCATATGGATAAGGGAGGAAAACAGGCACTGGAATACGCAGAAGTCGCTGGCTATACTTGAACGCGCCCCTTTTCGCCCTGTGATATCCAAATATTGCTGAAAGTCGATCATTCCTTGAGCCACAATCCACGATGACTGTGTGGGCGGACCTCTACAAACACTATGCCTTACTTCCAGTATGACGGAGGGGGTGGATGCGCTCCGGAAGGGGTGGATGCGAGGAAGCTGTCAGTCTTTGCGAAATTCTCCTCCTCATTTGGCCAACGCTGAATATGTCTCTAACGCCGATCTCTGGGGTACTTCTGTTGAACTTTACCATCTCTACCAAATCCTCAAAACGCAAAAATAAAGAAATCTAGAGCGAGTATAAAGTGCTTATGATTGAGCGGGCAATGAAAGCTCATTGGAAGCCGCTGGGCTAGAAATCAAGATCGGCCAACAGTACACGATAAATTTCTGAAGAACTGCTTCGAAACCTACTGCCATTTTACATCCTAAAATTTTTTTTGCTGAACACCCGATTTCTCTCAAATAATCGCTCGGAAGTAGATAAAGGACATTCTGCGATATTCCCATGGGCGGTGCTAGACGTTTGCCTCCCTCACTGCAGCACCTTTCAAATGAGGTATAGTGGAGGGACATGCCAGTGAGAGAGGCAGAGGTCTGACTTTTTTCCTTAGCCTTTCTTTGACGTAGTTGGCTCTCTCCTTCACATTTTGCTTGCCGCAATTCCTTTCATTTTCCAAGGGCCTCACGTAACGCATGGCTTACTATATCGCTGGCTACTCCTTTCGCTTTTCCTCTATAAAGCAGCCTATTTCTCAGTTTCCTTACATTTTCAAGCTCTACTTTTTTAACGCACTCATTTAGGCACCTTGCCACATTCTACCACCGTTTGATGGTGAGGAACTTTACTTGTCGTGAAGTGAATACGTCCTTTCCCTCCCAGACTAATAGTATACTTCTTCGCTGTGCTTCGCGATTCGCTTCGTAGGCGTTTCGGTCGTTGACTCCACTTCTGAACGCGATATGGCCTGTGGATTTACTTGTGGGAGGCAGCCGATGCTCTCGTCAAGGATGTGTTTTAACCTCGCAATATCAGTTTCAGTTTACCATTCCGTGGGGGGGGGGAGGGTATGAGGCGTGATTGGCATGGATGGCAGCCGGCATGTGACCTTCAGACCGCGCGTGTGGTCACCCTCCCCCTTCTAACCATGGCTGGGCAATGAATTGATAAATAAATTTCTTTGCTGTGTCTAATATTTAGAGTTGTATATGCATGTTGGTCCTACTGTCACATTACACCACACATCACGTGGATCAGGCTCTTCGAAATCACTCATTTCAATTTCAGAGTCATCAATCCGAAAAGCGATGTCACCACCGGACCAGTACAACGACAGTCGTGACACGAGTTTCAACAGCGATTCACCGTTGGGAATGAGACAGAGCCGTAGTGCGGTCGTCTGACTTCATTCCGCTTTACTTCGTGGCTCTCGTACTCCAAATCGTCATCATCGGGTATATCGGGAATTCGATTTTGCGAGGGCATCGAGTAGTCAGCGGACGCGTCCAGTAATGCCATACTATTTGGCTTTTTGCTCCTGAAAGATTTTATTCTCTGTATTCTCTTCATAACCTATTCAGAGAAGGCCGCTACAGGGAAGTCAACAAAAACACTAAATTAAAGACTTCAAGAATTTGTGCACTTATTAGAATGATTCATTTACGTATGAACTGCCTTATCCTTTAACTCTTCAGAAATTGTGAGCATAGTTGCTTAGTGGGACATTAGGTTGTGGGTGATTGGGGTAATATCGGGTTAGCTAAGCCATGCTTTTGCTACCTCTTTTCGGCCAGTTAAAGGCACAGTCCACATCGATCGTATGGGCGGAGACAGCCAACCCTTTCGTGCCTTGCATGCATACACGTAACTACTACCCGGTCCTCCGCCCATAAACTTAGCGTAAACGTTGAAAACATTGCCGGTCCTATTGCATTATGTACTTCGAGGGCAAAAATTTTTTGCCACCGCTCCCCCCCTTTTGAGCTCCCTTGTTTCTGGGTACGATTCTATACTCTCCCCACATTATGATCAAGTAACTATGCCAACAATACCACATAGTTTCTCATTTACTTGAAAATAATTCTTTCTCTGTTACTGCCAGGCACTACTCTTTTTGATACAGCTGCAGTTAACTCGTTAGAACTGTTATGAAGGAATAAAAAAGTGTTGCTAGGTTACTGTACCTTACGTGAACTCCCTCCCTGAACTGTCCATGTATCAAATTTACCCGTGAATAGTCTGAGTGCCGGAATGTCAACAAATCCATTTGTGGTGAAATAATTGAAAACTGTCCACTGTTTTTGAAATCACATTCCATATCCCAGACACAGAGTTAGTGTGGCTGCGTACTTCATTTTGATAGGCGTAAAATGCGTTTCTTGTGAGCCAGTCTCAATCGATACTACTGAACTTCTATTTTGCTGGATACACACGTGCTTATAAACAGTTTGGCACAGCAATGTGCCGACAAAAACGCAGTGGCTTTTACGTTCAAATGAGGCACGGAGCCACACCCCGTCAGTCCCCGGGGTACGGGGTATGCAAGAGCTCCGCTGCTGTTGGTTAGCTGTGACATTCTGGACCGTGCTCATAGTTCGCGATCGCTCATTTTTCGAATTGCCAAATCAATACGTATTTAATCCTTGGCGGACAGTGCGACCGTTTAGATCGCGTGACGCTGCTGAACCATGAACGCTGCTTTAGGCTTTTGAGCCCTTTCTGACGGGCAACAAGAGGGCTCTTCCTATTCGACCATAACTCATCATTTTACCTTCACTTGTTCAGTAGGACTTCCACAGAATTCTCTGCTAGATAAATAGAGGAGAAAAGCCCTCGTAGCTTGAGAGGTAGTACAACGCGCGGAAACGGGAAAAATCAGTTCCGAGATGTTTTCTCGGCCGAAATACAGACCCCCTGTCTAGCAGTCTTGTGGGAGCGGTGCATGGCACTGCACCCCACAGTCTCTCGTATGCTGATGAAATCCTACAAACCCTCTCGTCGAAAGCGCAGGCGTAGTAGGAGTCACATAGTAGCCCGTGGCCTCTTTCCGGGGTTTTAGTTTCTGCTGGCTTAATTTAATTTCTGAGAGTATTTTCTATGTTTCTAACGACACTCAGTGAAGTCGTGTCTTATGCCATCTCGTCAATTCCTTTTTTTCTACATTTTTTCTCGTCGTCTTGTCTGCATTTTTTCGTCGTTCATTTTC